GTTACTAGTTGATACCTTATCCGTGTATAGGATGTGTATATAGTTTACCTGTCACTTGTTACTAGTTGATACCTTATCCGTTGGTTTTCCCTGATCTGTTTATATTCATATTACCTTTTGTTTACCGATTTCATGCCAGTGGTTTATATAATGTACTAGAGAAAACAGCAGAAATTTACAACATGACATCCTCAAACTTTACAATGTAAGAGGAAAATGCATAAGTTATATGCATTATAGCAGTAAACAGGAAGTTTATAAACCCGGGCGTAGGAATAATCAACATAGGAGCTGACTAGAGCGCCAAATATTCAGGGCTACAGTATAACTAGGGCCGTAAGCCTTAATTTCTGCATAGGATGCCAGTTAAGCTATCACCGGCCTGTCTTAAATCTGTATAACGTGACAGAGCATGAAATAAAGTAGCATGCTAGAATGGTACAACATGATAACACCCTCAAATTACACACTGCAACATAACAGTGATAGAATTACTTAAACACAATAAGGTAGCAAACTAGAATTTTACATGACAACACCTTCAGATTATTCGCTATAACATGCCAGGGACAGAATTGCTTAAGCACAATAAAGTAGTACACTAGAATTTTACAAAATAAAAGTACCTTAAAACCTTACATTATAACATGACAGGAATTATTACGCATAATAAACAATACACTAAAATTTTACAACGTGAAAGTACCTTAAAATTTTACTTCATAGCATGACAGGGCAACTATTTTGCATAATAAACACTAGAATGTTAGAACATGACAACAGTTTGACATTTTACGTTGTACCATGGAACAATACAGTAAAATGTTCTCATTGTGGTAGAGCAACTGGGGAGAATAGTTATTCTACTAAACAGTGTAGAGTTGGTTGGTTGATTGGTTGACGTTTTTTTCGCAAAGCAGCTATACTATCTGCGTACAGTGTAGGGAAAGGGATAAAGGAATAATAGACCACACGCTGAATGATTTGGCTGTATGAACAACCTTTGTTGTTCTTTGTATTGTGTAAACGCAGACGGGGAGAACTTTACCCCTGCTGATGACACTATTAGTATCTACACATGACATGCAAAGCCTTTAGCAGTTTCAACATGCATCCGTCGTCAAAGTTCAGTTTTAATCAAATCTCATATTGAATGATGAGAGTTCGCTTCTGTCTTTATATCTACATAGCTTATAAACGTGTCAATTTACTATATCGAGCTTTAACTTCACATAGTTAGTTTACACATTCTCTTGCAAAGTCGTTGCTAAAACAATCACAAATACTTTCACTGGGTAAATTGATATTTTTGTTGTTTTGATCATTTCTAAAACATGACATGAGTAAATGTTTGGCTAGGTTATTTTCATAGGAAAAGAATTTCTTAGCTTTGTTTCGTTTTAGACACTTGGAATGTTTTCTATTCGTGTTTCTTATGACAGTTATCGTTGAAATTACCGTTATAAAGTGATGATAGAAAAAACATTTACCAACTTATCAAGCTGTTCGTATGGTTAAGTAAAGAATGCTAGACTGTTATTTTTACGCAGGGTTCACGTTGTTAAATAATGAGTTTTAGGTTTCTGTTATTCAGCAAGTTGTTCATGATCTTAACTAATGAATGTTAAGTTTCTGTTATATAGCAAGCTGTTCATATTGTTAAATAATGAATTACAAGCTTCTCTTATTTATGAAGCTGATCAAATTGTGAAATAATAAGGTTTAGGCACAGTATTCAAAATTAAAAAAAAAGGTTTCTGTTAGTTACTAAGGAACTTATATTATTAAATAATAATCTTCTGTCATTCGTCAAGTTGTTATGTTATACAATGCCTTATGCTGGCGAGCTAATTTGTGAGACATTACATCACAATAAGACTGATAATTTCTAACAAATCGTTCTTTACTGGCTTTATACTGGTTTCCAATAAGAATAGTATAAAACATGTCGAAGGCACATATTGTTTCTATTAAGGATTTGTGAGTTGTGTGCCAAGTCATCTTAGACTTCTGCTGTTTAGCATGATGTTCCTATTATTGAATTATGAATGTTAGGCTTCTGTTATTCTATTATTAGCTCAATATTTTGAGAATGAACTATTTATTGCCACTATTTTTAACTCAAAACCTAAATTGGCTTAAAGAACATCCCTTAGGTACAGTCCTTTTATTCATATAAAGCTAATTTGTAGCTTATAAGTACTATCAAAGTATGTTACTATATTTTCTGAATGCGAACATACTCTTAATATACAGTACTGTGCAAAAGTGTTAGAACAAAGTCGTAAATTTGATTTCAGGCTACTTTCAAAGAACAATGGAAGGTAAATCATAGGTGAAACATCAAACTTTATTAATCTTCATATTTAGTACAACACAAACTCAGTGGAAGTGCTAGAGTTCATCAAACAGTTAATATTTTGCGTGTCCCCCTTTTGTTTTTAATAACTGCAGACAGTCTTCCAGGCATTGTTGCAACATATTTATTCAAAGTGTCCTTTGGGATTTTAATCCAAATGTCTCTAATACACTCCCATAAAGTTTCTTTGGAAGTAACTTTTGATTTGTCAAGTTTTTGATCTATCAAATCCCAGATCTGCTCAGTTGGGTTGAGATGGGGGCTCCGTGGGAGCCAATTTATCATTTGAATGACTCCAGAAACTTCTTTCTTAACTAAGTAGTTTTTGCATAGGTTGAATGAGTGTTTGGGATCATTATCTTCTTGGTAATAGAATCCTTTACCAATAATACACAAACCACTGGGTATACCTTGACAGATCAGTATCTGATGGTACTTGCGCTGGTCCATTATTCCATCTCTTTTGCAAATATATCCTGTCACCTCTGCAGAAAAACACCCCCAAACCATCACACTGCCTCCCCAATGCTTCTTCTGCCGGACGTACAACCTACGCTTTGAACCAAGTATTTCAGACTTGGACTCATCCATCCATAACACCCTTTCCCAATCACCAACAGTCCAGTTTTGTTCCTTTTTAGCAAATTTCAGTCTTATGTCAATATTTGGAGATCGAAGTAAAGTTTTTAACTGTTACACGACAAATATTCCATTCTCGTTGAGTCTTCTTGATACTGTATATCTGGACACGTTTCTGTCATTTGGTCGTTTATCTCATGCTTGAGATCCGTGGCAGTCTTCCTTCTTTCTCGAAGGCTGCATAAACGAAGCTATTTAACATCAGTATCATTGAGTTTAGGTGTTCTGCCTCTTATTTTCCTGTTTTGAAATTTATCTCTCTTGGTCTCACGATCTAGGGTGTACTTGACAGTGTTTGAGGAGCATTTCAAGTCTGTAACAATTTGTCAGAGAGTTCAACCAGCATCACGCAAATCTTTTATGCGTACTCTCTGCTCTATTGACAATTATCTACACTTTTTGGGTCGTGACATGACAACAAAACGTAATATATAGTGTTAAACACTGTTTTTATCGAGGTTTATTCGTGGAGTGCTATTAAATTGATTTATTCTATCATATACCGGTACCATATGCTAGCTTCTTTCTGCATAGTTAAGACACTGCATGGGGAACCATTACAGTTATTTCAGACCCTAAATTTGA